AACTGGAGTCAAAGCAAGGGAAGAACACAATCAGGAAATGACATTTCCTCCTGGAAACCAAGGCCATGAGCAGATCAGAGTCTGAGCAAGATAAGTTCTTTTTCAGAGACAGCCATTCCCCCTGTGCCAGCACAGCAGGCCCCAAGCAGCAGTCCTCAGACCTTGGTGCCCCACTTTTGAATCCAAATCTCCACCAAGAGGATGGATTTCCAGCTGCCCAGCCACCACTCACCTTCCATCAGAGGCCTCCCGTGACATGGGCGATGTGTGGGTGAGGAGCAGTGTGTGGGCAGCAGCACACCTGTCCCATGGACCACCCCGTGTCCCCTCAGCTGGCTCACAGCATCCCTTGAGGCTCCTCAGCCTTTATCCATGTGCCTGGTGGAAGAAGAGGAGAAGTATCAGGAGCAGCATGGGAGGGAGCCCACCTTGAGCTAATGTTGGTTGAGCCAAGGGACCATTCATCAGGTTCTGGCTAAGACCAGAGTCCCTGGTGCTGTGACTGGGACCATCACATCACAGCATCTTCACCCAGACCTTCTGTGTCACAAACTTGGTGGCTTCACCACCACTTGTGCTGGAGCCTTTCCTAGGCAGGCAGTGACTGCATTCATTGCCCTGATGATGGCCCTGTGCCATCTGGAGGTCACCTGGCATGCACCCAAGTGCCACCTCTGCCACCGGAGGGACAGCAGGGCAGAGAACCACCCATGCCTGCCTCCTCCGTGCTGTGGAGGAAGCTGTGGGGCCACAGGCAGAGCCACCAAGGGCCTGTTTTGCTTTCAAACCCATCTCATCACCGTCCAGAGCTTCCACCAGGGCTTGTGGAGCGTGGCCAAGACCACATCCTGTTGCAGAGCTCTGTGGATGCCCCACTTCTGGCAACACTGGTGGATCACCACCCACAGAAGGAACATCTACTTTCTCCCTCCCAGTGCTGCTGCCAGAAGCCAAGGGCTTCATGTTTTGCTTCCAAGTGTTCCTGCCCACCAAGCCAAGTTGTTTTTAGAGGTGGAGAGTGAGATACTTCTGCTCTGGAGCCAGGCTGGGAGAGTTGGGCTGTTCAACCTGGAGAAGAGAAGGCTCCAGGGAGACCTTAGAGCACCTTCCAGGGCCTGAAGGGGCTCACGGGCAGGTTGACTGGTGGCATCAGGAAATGCTGGTTGGCACCTCAGGCAGGGCTCTCCAGCCAGCACAGCCTCAGGGACCTGAGCTGCTGGGGCTGGGGCCAGGACGCCACCGGAGGGACAGCAGGGCAGAGAACCACCCATGCCTGCCTCCTCCGTGCTGTGGAGGAAGCTGTGGGGCCACAGGCAGAGCCACCAAGGGCCTGTTTTGCTTTCAAACCCATCTCATCACCGTCCAGAGCTTCCACCAGGGCTTGTGGAGCGTGGCCAAGACCACATCCTGTTGCAGAGCTCTGTGGATGCCCCACTTCTGGCAACACTGGTGGATCACCACCCACAGAAGGAACATCTACTTTCTCCCTCCCAGTGCTGCTGCCAGAAGCCAAGGGCTTCGTGTTTTGCTTCCAAGTGTTCCTGCCCACCAAGCCAAGTTGTTTTTAGAGGTGGAGAGTGAGATACTTCTGCTCTGGAGCCAGGCTGGGAGAGTTGGGCTGTTCAACCTGGAGAAGAGAAGGCTCCAGGGAGACCTTAGAGCACCTTCCAGGGCCTGAAGGGGCTCACGGGCAGGTTGACTGGTGGCATCAGGAAATGCTGGTTGGCACCTCAGGCAGGGCTCTCCAGCCAGCACAGCCTCAGGCACCTGAGCTGCTGGGGCTGGGGCCAGGACTGAGGGGTGCCTGGCCTAGAGAGCACCAAAGTGCTGGGCAGGAGCTCCTGGACCAACTGGAGGACCCACACAGGGAAAAACACCAGAAGAGGAGCTGATCTGCAGCATTTAGGTAGGTTTAAAACTTTTTATACTAATTACTGCTTTATTAACAAATTCTTGCCTGATGGAGCAGGGCAGCTTCATGCCCCAAACACCCAGAAGCCCTCAGCACCAGCTGTCAACTTCTCCCCATCCCCAAAGGGAGATTTAGAATGAATATTGGGGGAAAATTCTTCACTGAAAAGGTTGTCAGGCCCTGGCCCAGGCTGCCCAGGGCAGGGGTGGAGTCCCCATCCCTGGAGGGCTTTCAAAGCCCTGTAGATGTGGTGCTGAGGGACATGGGGCAGTGGTGGCCTTGACAGAGCTGGGTTAAGTTAAGACACAGTGATCTTAAAGGTCTGTTCCAACTTCAGTTATTCCATGACTCTATGATCAGGGCAGGGTTTTGCAATGCAGCTAGTGCCTCAGAGGTCTCCAGCTGGGGGTGACATGTCTGGGTGCAGCTGGGAGCTCAGCAGCACAGCACCCAGCACAGCTCTCCCTCCCCCAGCCAGGGGAACGGAGAGAAACCAGCCCTGTGAGACCTTCTCACCACTTCCTGGCACGCTGAGTTTCCTCCAGGAGCTTCTCAGGCTCCTGCACCTACACGACTTCGGAGCTTTGAGCGATTTCTCCTGCCACATTTCCACCCTGAACTGCTCCAGTTCTGGATCTGCGGGAACCAAGATCTGCCAACCCAAGAGCTCCAACCATTCCCCCTCAGCCGAGCAGATCCTGAAGCCAGGACAGAGGCTGCCACCTCTTGGCAGAACCGAAAACATTTCACAGCAGTAATTTATGTTAATAAAGCAATGAAGTATCCTCTGTGGGTGTTAAAAATAGAGATGTGGAGCCCTGAAGGACCCCCGGGCTGAATGCCAGGGGTCCCAACACCAGATCTCACCAGGAAAAAGTAAAGATCCATCTCTGGGTCATTCCAAACAGCTGAAACCAAAGCTAAGCTCAGAGAGAAGGTCCCTCACAAGGTGCTACCACACCTGGCAAGCTGCAAAAGGAAGAAGGATGCATTTACTGAGCTGATTGTGCCCTCAGAGCACTTCACCACAGATGTGCACGTGGCTCCTTTGAAAAGCAGATCTTCTCCCCACCAACAGCTTCTGGCCTCCAGGATCTCAAGACATCAGCATGAGGATGGGGAAGGAGCTTCTCCCAACCAGCCTCTGCCAGCACCAGCCCCAGCTGCTGCCCTCAGCAGGGATGCTGGTGGCCCCACTGCCCACCCCACACCCCAGCAGGGTTTGATGCTCAGGGTCAGCCCCACTTTTGAAGGTTGCAGGGTGTCCTGAAGAGCATCCACGACCTCTCAAGAAAGGAACATGCTTTGGAGGTGCCTTGGTGCCAAGCTCTGCCCCAGCTGCCCTGCTCGACATGTGGGATAACCCTTCCACACAAGGAGGTGCTGGTGGCATCTCAGTGGGTGTCAGCACCCTGCCAGGGCTCCAGCTGGGCCTGTCCCCAGCAGTTCCATACCCACAGGATGGGCAGGGCCCCTCGCGGCCTTGGAGGACTGAAATACAGCAGGATGAAGCACTGACACAGCCCAGCACAGCCCAGGCTCCCTGCTGAGCCATGTGTCCCCTGCTGAGCTCCCACCACCTTGACCCCACACAATGTTGGGGGATCCCCTGCAGTAAAGAAGGCACCTGCAGCTTTGGGGACCTCAGTGTTGCTTTTCCCTCCAGGAAGATGTGCTGAGTACATTCCCCAAGCAGGGAATGCAGCTCTGGGCTTCAAGCTCTTGGACTGGACAGAGCCAGGACCCTGTCTGCCTCTCTGGTGCAATTTTGCACCATGTCACAGGCAAGTGTGGTGCTAATTTCATCCTTTTCCACTCCCAGTACATACTGGGGTTTTTTTTTTAGGTGGTTATGAAGTGGGATTAAGTCAGTAAATGATATGAACATGGGGGAAAAAAGCTGAGGCTGCACAGGGTGGGGAGGTTTTGCATGGGAAGGGCAGCCTGGATGCAGCTGCCTGGGCAGGCAGTACCAGGCAAGGGGACAGAACCTGTGACAAGTGCCAGGTCCCCCATGAGGTCCCACACTTCTCTCCATCAGGGCTCAGTGCCATGCACCACCACACCCACTCCTGCCAGCACCAGTGGCCACACCACACCAGGCTGTGCTGCCTGGTGCTGCTGGCACTGGGTGATGCCTTCACAGAATCATGGAGTGGTTTGGGTTGGGAAGGACCTTCAAGATCATCTAGACCCAACCCCCTGCATGGGCAGGGACACCTCCCACCAGCCCAGGCTGCTCCAAGCCCCATCCAACACTGCCAGGGATGGGGCAGCCACAGCTTCCCTGGGCAACCTGTACCAGGCTCTCACCACCCTCACACCAAAGAATTTCCTCCTCATGCCTTGTCCATCCTTGGGACCTCTGCCCAACAGCTCCTGGTCCTGCCATGTGTTGGCCCAGCCACTCCAGCTCAACCCCAGGCAGGAAGGCTGGGTGATGCCTCCCCTTCCCTCCATACCCCCCCAAAGCCCCACCAAAACCTTACCAGGGCCTCGTGCCTCCTTCCCCAGGTCTGGGTGGGAGCAGGCAAGCAGGGAGGACATCCTCGTGGTGGTGGGAGGGTGCAGCCCCTCCGTGCCCCCACTCAGCCCTTTCTCCCCAGCTTTTCTTCCTCCTAGCCTGGATGCTCAAGTTCAAGGTAGAAAATTAAAGCCCCCTCCAGCTGGTGGCCCCTCTACCTGGGGGATGAAGGAGATGATGGGATCCAGTGGCTGGGGAGCCCGGTGGCTTTTTCTGTCTTTCAGCTTCTCACCCCTTCCTGTGCCTTGAGTCTCACTTGATCTTCCTTCCTGTCAGCTCAGAGCTGCTGCCTATGCAAATTAGTGAGTGATCTGCTGAACAACAGCAGAGCATGGTAACCACCCTGTGTGACCAGCAGCAGGATCTGTCCTGCTGGCATCCTCAGTGCACGGCCAGTTCCTCAGACATGGCCACTTTCTGCTGGGAGAACCAGAAAACCAGGCTGGCCAACATCCAAATTACACCAGATGCTCTCAAAGCAGAGCCATGAGCTCACCCCAGCCTGGGAAAGCCTGGTTTTTACTGCTTATCCCCCTCACTATCCAGGAACACTGGGAACATCCCATGGAAGAGGCTGGTGAGCAGTTCTGTCCTTGGCTGAGCCATGCATGGCAACATTTCCACGAGTAGATTCAAGTTGTACCTTGAAAGAGCAGAACAAAAGGGCAGGAATAAGCTCCCCTTCCTCCAAAGCTCTGCTTCTGCCAGTGCTGAATGTCTTCTCCAAAAGTGAGTTGATCTCTGAAGGGGTGGATCTCCTGGCACCAAGGAGCTCTGTGTCCACACCTGAGGAGCCAGAGCCACCAGCAGCCATGGGACCAGCAGGATGTCCCCTCCCCAGCTCCACTCAGGCAAGTGGCATTGATATTATTTTGCATTTTTTCTTAATTTGTAAATCCTCTATTAGGTTTCTCTGGCATTTTGGGTAAATCCTTTTTCATTCTGAGGTGCTGAGCTGAGAGGTCAGAGTGAGCAGAAGTCAGTGATGAGGAGAGAAATAGTTTGTCCTGTTAGGAGACCTGTCCTGGTGGGATCTGTTTATATCTATCAAGTAGCTCTAATGAAGCTGCATCTTTCTTTATAATTACACATCTTGCCTCCCACCAAGTCTGGCTGAGAGGTGATCAGTGGCTGAGGGACATGGTTTAGTGGTGGACTTGGCACAGTTAATGGTTGGACCTGATGATCTTGAAGGTCTTTTCTATGCTTCTGAGATGACTGATGGTGGAGAAGGTGGTGGAGATGATGGTGGCTGATGGAGCTCTCACAGTGGAGAGCTGTTGAGAGATGGTGTGGGTTCACAGCCAGATCATCTGCATGTGGGGAGCTGTGTTTGGGGAGAAGAGGTGGAGCACAACTGCAGCTGGGACCTCCAGCCAGCTCTGGGCTCTGCTTCTCCCAGGGGCTGCTCTCTGCCAGTCCCAGGGCTGCACGTGGGAAGGGGTCAGAAACTTTCCCAAGTTTTAGGGCTGCTGGTAATTCCCTGCCCTGGCAGGAGGTTGGTTTCCAGAGGTGATGGTATCTGGAAAGTCCCATCAGCTGTCACCTTCCTGCAGCTAAAGATCCCCCACATCAGAAGTGACTGTGCAGAAGCCCCGGTTGGGTTGGTACCTCCTGCTTTCACAATGATTCATTGGTGTTAATTAATGCAACTGTATATAGCATGTATTTTTCCAGGCTGTTTACTTGATTCAACCCCCAAATTTCCCAATAGGTTTGCTGAGTTCCACCTCTGGAGCTCCCAGCAGGGTGTGTTTGGCCTGTCCCTCAGCACAGCCCTGCCCGGTGTCCCCAGCCAAGTCCCCTGGGTCCCCTGGTGCCCCAGAGCTCACCGAGGTGGTTTGAAAAGCCCAGGAGATGCCTCTGGGTGTCTTTTGAGTGGGTGGGTTGGGTGGCAGGGGACATCAGGGCCCATTCCCTGAGCTCAGCCCGACCTGGGAACAACCAACCAGCCCATCTCCGGAAGGAGCAGGGGATGCTCTTTGGGAACAGCCGAGTTTCCGAACTCGGGGTACCTGGAAAACCGGTGACCGGAGCCTCTCAACCCCTCCTGCTTTTGCAGCCCGGGCTGTAGCAGCTCCGGGTCCCGGGGGGAGGGCGGGACCTCCCGGGGTTACCTGGGCAGGTGGGACCCGCCCAGGCGGGCGGAGTCAG